CGGCGGCTTCCGAGAGCCGCCGCCACCGCCAGTCGCCACGGCGTTCTCAGGGAAGGAGGAGAACTCCAAGTAGGGAGAGAGAACAATCCAGCAGCAGAGAAAGGAGAGTGAGTAGATCTCCTGGTAGAAGATCTTCTGACACCACTGCAAATGCAAGCAACAACAACAACAACACAAGTTCTAGGCCTGGGAAAATGGTGTCTGTTCCTGCCACTGTTTCATCTTTGGCTATGGACAAGAGTAACAACTGTGGTGGTGGAGAATCTGGCACCAAGAGGAAAACTGTTAAGAGGAACGTTGGTGATGTTGGTTCAAGGGGTGCAGCATCACCACGTGCTCAGTCTCCTGCTAGAGTTAATGGTAATGTGGCAAGTGCTAAAGTATTGAGTGAGAATCAGCACCACCAACAACAACCCTCTCTCAGCCGTAATAACTCTTCAAGGAAAGCAGAACTATCTCCTTACAGAAGAAACCCTCTGAGTGAGGTTGATACTAACATCAAGGTGCAACAAAACAAGCCCAGGATTGAAGCTGAAGCCATTCAGGTAATCAAATCACTTGGTAGATGGAATGAGTTGTGTTATTGATGTAATGTAATTAAACATTGATGTCACTATTTGTTGTAATCTTTAGCATTCCTATTTATGGTAAGTAGGAAAGTCTAAATCATTAGCCTAATTAAGGTAATTAAGAAAACCTAAATTATTGTACTAATTACATCAACTAAAAAAGTTAATGATTACATGGAAAAATAAATAATGTTCCTCATTACTTTGTTGATGTTATTGACATGATCTTTTGCCATTCCCATTGCAGAAACCAAATGGCAAAGTTGCATTGGAGAAGGGTGTGAGTGTGAATTGCAAAACAAAGGAGCAACATGGGGAAGAGTCTTCAGTGCCTGATAGTGCTGCTATGAAGAAAATGGTATCATCATCAGGGGTTGACAACCTTAAACCACAAGGTTTAACAAGAAGCAGATCTTCTAGAAGATCTAGAGACTTAGACATCAATCCTGAACCTGTGGTGAACTCATCAAACTCCTATGCTTCCCTACTCCTTGAGGACATCCAGAACTTCCATCAAAAGAACACACCACCACAACCACAACCACAACAACAACCTTCTATTTCTCTCCCTGCATGTCTCAACAAGGCTTGCTCTATCCTTGAAGCTGTTGCTGATCTCAACTCCACCACCAGCTCAAATTTCTCTGAGGACAGGAAGAGTCCATCCACTCAACAATCTATTAGGAATGAGTACAATCACTATGGGAAGAAGAAAGTGGCACTTGCCAAGGACCCTTTCATAGAATCTGAGGTGGCTGTTAGTGATGATGTGATGGAACCAAGCTTGCACAAGTATGTGACAGTGAAGAGGGGTGGTGGAATAGACATGGAGGACCAAGAGTCTTCAGGAAGCAACAGCTTCACTGTGAGTAGTCATAGTGGCCAACATCATTGGGGCATTTCTTGTTCCTCATCATGGGAACCAAATTCTGCTGACTCAACAGATTGCTGGACTTCAAGATTGAGCACCTTGGAAAGTGATTTGTCATGTGAAGCCAAGAAGTGTATGAGCAACAAAAGTAGAGAGTGTGATCATGAACACAGCAGTGGAATTGGACGTGGCAGGCTTGGTTCCAATAAGGGTCTTAACATGTTACCTGCTGCTACAACCTAGGTGTGTGATGAAGATGATGTTCATAATATGTATTCCACCTTTTATTTAGTATCTTAGATATTCAACGAAGGTTGCATTCCTTCTGTTTTGAGTTGCATACTTGCAACTGTTTCTTGTTTCATCAAGGCCAATTCTAGTTGATCGCTCTCATTTTGCCATTTTACCTGTCCTGTTTATGAACATTTTTTGTGATTCTTCGAATAGACATGAAGATCAATCGTTTACAAACTCCGTTTGTATATATCTAGTAGAACATCTCTACAAAATTTGGAGCTTTTGTTATCAAGAAAAAAAAAAATGGAACTTCGTTGAACCAATAACCGGTGAAAATAATAGAAACAACATTGAACTTACTAAATCATCGATTAAATAATTGATTTTAAAAGTTTAGTTTAACTAATTTAAAACCCTTTTTTCTTTGATGTAAAAAAATACTTTTCTTTATTAATAATAACTAATGATATACATATTTTAAACTCTAGTTCAATTCATAATTATTCTAGGTGATATTAACATATTTGTACTAATTAACAAGAATGAGTCCCCTGATGTTAAAAAAAAAAAAAACACTAGTATGTGCAGTTTTAAATCCCACCAAAAATTCATACCATCAGATGAATAACTCAAATCTTCAAATCCTCTCAACCCATGCAATGATCAAGCATGCAACCCAAAATACTTCAAGCATTAACATCATACAACTCAGAAAATCCAAGATGAACAACATGCATCCACAATAACTCCAGAAAATCATCACATTTTAACCTTGCCTCAAGAACAACAAAATCCCCCATTTCCACACAAAACCCCTTTGAATCCTCCTCACATTTTGTAGATTTCACAAATCTACCAACATTAACCTTCAATTCATTCAATAGCCCCACATTTTCAACCCAAAACCCCAAATCCTAGCTTCCCTTACCTCAAAGGAAGAAGAATCCAGCTCAAAACTAAAGAGAAGGGAGAAGGAGAAGTGTCTGCACGACTCTAGGGTTGAAGAAGAAGAAGAATGGATGATGAACCTTGCTTCACAATCCTAGTTCTCACCACTTCAGGCTTAGGGAAAAGAAAACAACAATGAAGGTTTAGGGGTTTGGGAGAAAATGAGAGTGATGAGGGTTCACTGGTTTTACAAATTCACTATTCTAAGATGGTATCAAAGTCATCCTATATCCTTAAAAAAATGTCACCTATCCTAAATCATTAAAAAAGGTCATTCGTCATTAATCCAGGTACCAAACCTAATAATATTGGACATGAGGGGGTGTATTGGGAAAACCCAAGTCCTACATCAATTAGAGATTAGACAATTAAATAATATATAAGAGGAAAACAACCCTCATTTTACAAGCCGGTTCTATAAGATTGAGTTAGACTCAAATCTATTATTCTAAGATGGTATTAGAGTTATCCTAAATCCTTATAAAGGACCGCCTATCCTATATCATTAATAATAGTTACCCACTAAAGATTGTATCAGAACTATCCTAAATCTTTAAAAAGGGTCACATATTCTAGATCATTAAAAATAGTCACCTCACCATTTATATATAAAAAGATATATTAAAAAAAACTCAAATCCTACACCGACTAAATATTAAATAATTAAATAATATATAAATAAAAAATAATTATTATTTTATAAATTAATTTTATAAAATTACTCATTTATACTCTCCTAAACTCGTACTTTCTATTGCAAAAAAAAAGAATAAACTAATGGCACATGCCCATGACATGCAAGAAAGCTAGACTGAATAATGTCAACTACTCTGAGAGCAACCCTGTCTAAATAATCAATTTCTCTTCAATATTGTCGGCTCTCCATCACTACCATATATATCAGCTACGTACCCACCTAAAGAATCACCTGATCCAATGGGATTATCTTGGATCGGTACCTATAAATCCTTTAAACTCTAGTTCAATTCATAATTATTCTAGGTGATATTAACATATTTGTACTAATTAACAAGAATGAGTCCCCTGATGTTAAAAAAAAAAAAAACACTAGTATGTGCAGTTTTAAATCCCACCAATAGAATGCAATAAATTGATTTTAAAAGATAAAATTATCATTTTTAATTAAATAAATAATTATGATAAATAAAATTTGAATTAGATAAAAAATTAAAAAAGTTTCTAAATGTCGAAAGAATTTTTTTTAAAAATAATCTCATACAAAATAAATATTTATATTTAATATTTTCTTTTGTTCGTCCTAAAATACACCGTCAATAACAGTGACATATATTTAATATATAAGTGTTAATAACTTATTTATATTATAAAATAATATTATTTTTATTTATTAAAAAATTATTTTAAAGTATTAAGATTTAATTATAAATAATTATGATAAATAAAAATTAAATTAGATAAAAAATTATTAAAAATATCGATCGAACAAAATTTTCTAAAAGGACGAAAGGCATAATATAAGTTGGTATTTAATATACACAAAAGTTGATTCCAAAAGGAAAAACAAGTTATTGCTCAAACCACATAATGACCGTGCCTCATCCCTTTGTTTTGATTTTCCTTATTTTTCAAGTACTTTTCTTTGCACAATTTAATACAAACTGTCAAGTATTAATAAACCATTACCGTAGTCTCTCAAGTTTTTATTTTTAATATATAAGAATTACAAACAATAGATTTGAACTTAATATCTTGTAATAACTATTTCAAATTTTAACTTTGAAGTCTATGTATTATAATTTTCTTATATTTAAAATTTGTAAATGATTTTTTTTTTTTTTACTTTAAGAACTATTTACGAGAAAATAATACTTTAGGAATGAAATTGAGAATTTTTTCATTATGTATTTAATTAATGAAAAGTAAAGTATTTATTATTAAAAAAAGTGTTATAAATTAACTAAGAATTGATTAGATTTAAGTAGGGAAAGTTTGGTATAAATGAAACTAAAAAAATTATATAATTTTTAATAAATTTTAGTTAAGTAAAAAATATGTTTAAAATAATATTTATGATATTATATTATCTTTATAATATGTTTTGATAAATTGTTTTGATAAAACGAAGTTTTGGATATATTTTAATCTAATTTTTGGACTTATCGAGATGATTTTCATTTTATTTGAAAATTTTGTGTATATACATATTGTATTAGGATCGCTACACTTTGTATCTAAAAAAAAACTTTTTAATTTAATTTAATTTTTAACTTGAATTTTCGACAACTTTTTAAAAATTAGGTTAGTTATCAAATCAATCAAATATTAAATTAATAGGTTAGAGATTAAATTAATGAGTCGCTAATTAAATTGAATCATCCAATCTTTATTAATTTTATAAAAAGAATTTATATTATACATATTTCATATTTAAATTTCAATAAAAGCTATATCATATCTTAATGAAGTCTAAAAAAAATATAGTTATTATATTATTGATAGAATAACTAAATTATATACTAATTGAAAAAGTATATATAAAATATAAAATTTAATTCAATTTAAACATATATATTATGGATAGCAAAATTGAATGCTAAAAGAGAAAACTAAATAAAACCGTCTGATCTTTAACTTATAAGTCATCAATTTGTCTAAAAATTAGTAAGATTTTATCAATGTTTATTGAATTGAATGTAATCCAATTAAATAAAAAGTTCAAATCAGCTTGGTCATCGATTAGACTAGCCTAACCGATGCATCTAAATTGATTTTTAAAATTCTATTCCCCAATTTAATGAGGCGAACTTATATTTCATTTTTTTAATAGTTATTATTTATTTCATTTGTATATATTAATAGATATTTACTGAGAAAAAAATTTATTTAGAATTAAATTACTTTTAATCACTTTTTTATACGATACTTTTTTATATACTAATTTTAATATGATATAGTTAAGCATGAAAGAGTAAATAAAAATATCAGACATAAATTTACCATTATATATGTATACATATATCGTTAATTTTACTTTATTTAAATATATTTTTAGTCTAATTTTAATTTTAATTCTTCAATTTTATTTTGTTCGTTTCGGGTATTAGAAATTTATTTTAAATAGTACCTACTATCATTTAGTAATAACCTAATATTAATTTAAATAAGTCATGTAAGCAATATTTCGAGATGATATAACTTTTTTTTATATAATTATTAGAGAGGTGTTATGTTTAGATTCAACTATTTCTTTTATTTAGACTACAAATATTAACTCCAAGAAAATCACTTTAAATTATTAGAAGAAGAAAAAAATTGTTGATCAATTGAATGGAGTTGTGCAATGATACATATAACCAACACCTTAAACAAAATTTTCATCCCAATACTCTCAAAGTTAACATAGCATATTTTCAAAAGGCAAAGTAATGTTTTCTTCTTTTATTTTGTAATTTTTTATTTGAAAACAAAGTGTCTATACAATAATAATCATTAAACACCCACTTTATAACAAGATTAATCAGTTACGTGATTAAATAACCCTTTTTCTAGTCATTGCAATCATCCACCCTAATAAACTTTCTTTTTCTTTTCCCGCTCCATCTGTGAAATCAAATGTCTTATATAATACTGTGATGAGCTTAATATCAAGCAAACGTAGGGAAATCAAAATAAAAGAGACCAAAATATTTCTCAAAGGTTTACCTAAATGTAATCATCTATGTACTGGTAGGCACCCCCCTTCGGCCTGATTGAAGGCCGAATACACCAAAATCGAAAGACACCCCTTCGGTCCTAGGCCAGGCTGAATACCCCTTCAGTCCTAGGCCAGGCCGAGTACCCCCTTGGCCCCAATACATCATAAAAAACAAGGAAGCATCCCGCAAGTATCCAATTCACCCTGGACACCCCCTCGGTCCCAGGCCAAGCCGGATACCCCCTTGGTCCCAGGCCAGGTCGAATACCCCTTCGGCCCCAGGCCAGGCCGAATACCTCTTCGGCCTTAGGCTCGACCGAAAGACTTAAAGCAAGGACGACTCACATAAACACGTGGCAAATTAGATACCTGTTATACAATAATTACCATGCTTGATTAAGAAAAGATTAAGGTTAATTAAAATGTTACCCATCTCCCAAGACAGAAGGCCCACCAGGCCCAAACATGTCACTATAAATACACAGGTGATGGGACATAAATGAGGTACGATTTATTCCATATAAAAGCACTTATTGCTCTATACCGAATACTTACTTGATCGTCGGAGTGCCTTTGCAGGTACCCTCCCCACCACTCAGAAACAGTATTCGGTCGGCACCGAAGACTTAGAAGATCAAGGAGAAGGAGCGACAAGAGGAGTGTTTCTAGACAGGAACATTTTGGCGCCCACCGTGGGGCCGAAACCAGAACGGTTCTCGACCCTGAAGTAAGATGGTAGCAACAAGGAGTCAGCAAGAGAACGCAGTCGTACACCCCTTCGGGATGCCCCTAGACAACACCAGGCAGCAAACTAATCAGAACGAGGAAGAAATGGAAGAATCATATGTAGATCGGTCCCAACAACCCAACCCATCGTCGGCCCTCGAGCAACTAAAGGCTGAAATGATGGAACTCAAGAGGCTTCGAGAAAAGGACGCCCACAAGTTGTCGGTCCTTAGAAGAGAGAATGCCGAACTCAGAAGTGACAACAGGTCATGGCACCCATCTCATGATACCCCCAACACCCAATCCACTCAGGACCATGGGGAGTCGTCGGGGTGGTACAAAGAAACGAAGGCCCCTCGGCAGGAATGACAACTACTACTCTAGATCAGCAACGGCGACAGGGAAGAACGCCCTTTACTCCGGACATAGCAGGAGCTAGACTACCTGACAACTGGAAAAATTTAGCTCTTGAGAAGTATGACGGAACCAGCGACCCGGAAGAACACCTTGACGCCTTCGTCACGCAGGTCGGCTTGTACACCGACGATGATGCTGTTATGTGCAAGGTGTTCCCCACTTCACTAAAGGGACCGAGGTTAAACTGGTTCACAAGACTCCTACCTGGATCGGTTGACTCATTCACAACCTTATCATCCCGTTTCGTGATACAATTCGCTACAAGCCGCCCTCACCAACTCACCTCAATTGCGTTAGTCAACACCCGTCAAGAAAAGAAGGAACCCCTCAAAACGTTCATGGAAAGCTTCGGGAAAATGACCTTGTCCATCCGAGATCTGGACCCCGCGGTGGCAATGCAGCATCTCACCATGACACTGAGGCCGGGTCCTTTTGTAAATAGCTTATGCTAAAACCCACCCAGAGACTTGGATGACCTTAGGCAAAGGGCCACAAAGTACATGCAGATGGAAGAATTGGCCGAGTTCAGAAACTAGAACCGGTCCGACCTCTTCCTCGGAAAGAAAGAAGCTGAGAAGGAGCACCCTCCAAGATCTCGCCCTCGAGATACATCTGATCGAGAAAGGAACAATAGGGGTCAAAGGTATATGCAGTATACATCGCTCAACACCAGCAGGGCCAAGGTGTTGGAGCAGGCCTTAGCCACAGAAGTCCTAGCTGTTCCTCGAAGAGCTATGACCCCGCCTTACGCTGATAAGACGAAAGCATGTCAGTTCCATCGGAATAGGGGGCACACTACTGAGGAGTGCTCTGCCCTTCGGGATCGCATCGAAGACCTCGTCAAGGCCAGCCATCTTCAAAACTTCATTCGGTCAACAGATAACAGAAGGAACGACTACCGCCCTGGTAGGGGGGAGTACAGAAGGGACAATCAAGATCGGGCACCTCCGCGGAACCAATCCCGTGAGCGCAGCAGGTCCCAAGATAGAAACAATCAGCGAGACCGTAATCAGCCTAGGCGAGTGATAAACACCATTGCTGGAGGCTTTGCGGGAGGAGGAAGCTCATCTTCGGCCCGAAAGAGACATTTGAGGGCCATCAAGTCGGTCAACGCTATAGGATGGGCCTCCCCCATTCGTATGCCCCCTATAACATTCACTGACCAAGATTTCCAAGGCATTGACCCGGTGCAAGATGATCTGATAGTCATCAGTGTAGAGATCAACAATTGTATTGTGAAGAAGACTCTGGTTGATCAGGGGAGCTCGACAGACATCTTGTACTGGAAGACGTTCGAGCAACTTGGCATCCCGGAAGAAGAACTGACGCCTTACGATGAATTCTTGGTAGGGTTTTCGGGTGAACGAGTAGACACTCGAGGAACGATAGACCTGTATACCTACTTCGAAGATGACCAGCGTAGACGAATTAAGGTGCGTTACGTAGTGATGCATGCCAACACTTCATACAACATTCTGCTAGGCCGACCCTCGCTGAACAAGCTCCGAGCCATCGTCTCCACCCCACATTTGGCTATGAAGTTCCCATCGGAGGAAGGGACCATCATCACTTTGCACGCCGATCAGAAAACGGCGCGCGAATGTTACTTCGCCAATTTAAAGGTACAGCCAACTCCAAAGCCAAGACGAGATGTCAACGTCATCGGCGATGTTGGCCAACCGAAATTAATCCCTAAAACTTGATCCAAGGATGGAGGATGAAGATAGGGTCGAGCCTATAGAAACAACGGTTCCGTTCCAACTTGGAAAGAATGAAGAACAGGTCACTTTCTTGAGTTCTCAACTATCTGAAGTAGAGGCTGAAAATATTAAGCAGATCCTACGAAAGTATTCAGACTTATTCGCTTGGACTACAACGGATATGTCGGGCATCGATCCAAGTTTTCATTGCCACCGTCTCTCAGTATGCTGTTAAGTCTCAATTTTACCTCTTTTTGGATGAGACTTATTGAACGAATTCCACTCATCCTTTGAACCATTGCAATATTATTGTTCTCTTTTTGGTTCATTTTGTGTGCAGATATAACTAACCCAAATTCAGCTAACAATACCTTAATACACCTCATTTTTGTGCAGGTATTGAGCTAGTGACTTGAGGATTGAAGACTCTTAGGATTGGAAACCTAAGAAGCTAAGGAGCAGAGAAGAGGTTCTGCGCCGGGCTCAATATAACCCGCGCTGGGCGTGACAAAAACAGAGTATTTAATCTCTGCCAGTTATATTGCGCCGGGCGCAAAAGGAATTAAGCCGGGCGCAAAAGGAATTGCGCCGGGCTTGTGTTGAGACAGAGAGTGCTTGACTTCTCTGGAAGAACTTGCGCCGGGCGCGAAGAATTGTGCGCCGGGCGCGGAACCCTAATCTGATCTCCCAGGCTCGTATTTGAAGCCATTTTCGGGGATCTTTCTCTCCATTCTCACATTGGGCGCCTCCAGGAGCTGCGGAAGGGATTCCCAGGGCTTGGGATCGTCCGTGTGCGGATCTTTCCTTCGGTTCTTCACTTCCTCTTCCATCTCTATTTTGTATTTGCCCTCTTTGTTGAGTGGTTTCACCCATTTTGTGGGGTTAGATGTAACCAACGTACTCTATTGTAATCTTTACGATTTTAATGATATATATACATGTTGTTTTATTCTTTGTTGTGTTTGTTTCTATTCTTAATGCTTGCTTTGGATTGATCACCCTTTGCATGATTTAAGGTTCCATGGAGATTGGAAAATAACCTTTGAAACTAGTTCTGAAACATATGCCTAGTGGTGATTGTATCTAGGGATAGAGCTTGACCCATTAGTAGTCTTAAACCCTAGCCCGTAATGCGGGTGTAGATATTGGGTACTCAAGGGATTGATATTCAATATCCGCACCTAGGCTCTTTCTCTAAGGGATTAGGTTTGAGTAAACTCTTGGGTTGACTAAGCAATGAATTCAACAAGAGATTAAGGATACATTGGTGTTACGTTTGGTGAAATCTGACCCCCACAACCTCACAATACCACAATACCATTCCTTACCTTTTCCACTCACAAAACAATATTTATTTACAGCTTTCATTCCAATAGTCACAACTTTGAATTCACTGCACAAACTATGAAATTGGAATTATTCTTTAGTCACGAATAATCAATAAATGCTTATATTACCTTCTAATCCCTGTGGATACGATATTTTTACTACTTGAACGGCCGGTATACTTGCCGTGTTTGAGACCGTTGATTGAATCAAATTAAATTATAATTATAACAAAAGCACTTCAACGGAAATCTCAACATATGCCGAGACGCCAAGCCCATCGCCCAAAAGAAAAGAAAAATGGGTGGAGAAAAGGCCCAGGCAATAAAGGAAGAGACCGCCAAACTACTCTAAGCAAAATTCATAAGGGAAGTCAAATACTCCACATGGTTGGCCAATGTGGTGATGGTCAAGAAGGCAAATGGGAAGTGGCGGATGTGTACAGACTACACAGATCTGAACAAAGCGTGCCCAAAAGACGCTTACCCTTTACCCCACATTGATGCATTAGTTGATGGAGCGGCCGACCGCCATCAAAGATTGAGCTTCCTGGACACTTACTCGGGGTAGAACCAAATACCCATGTAGCCGCCAGATGAGGAGAAAACAGCATTCATCATCGATTCGGCGAACTTCTGCTACAAAGTAATGCCCTTCAGTTTGAGAAACGCTGGTGCCACCTACCAGAGACTCATGGACAAGATTTTCCGCCACCAAATAGGGACATGTTTAGAGGTATACGTGAATGACATGGTGATCAAATCCACCTCAGCCAATGATCACCTAAAAGACCTTGGCACGATCTTTAATGAAGTACGACGACATCACATGCGACTAAATCCGGCAAAATGCACCTTTGGGGTAGCCGGCGGAAAATTCTTAGGATTCATGTTGTCAAAAAGGGGTATAGAAGCCAACCCCGATAAATGTCAGGCTATTATCACTATGCAAAGCCCTCGCAACATAAAAGAAGTACGGCGGCTTGCCGGACGCATCGCTTCCTTGGCTCGTTTTCTTCCCTGCATGGCCGAGAAATCAAGGCCCATAATGACCTTACTGAAGAAGGTTACAAAGTTTCAATGGAACGACGAATGTGAGTCAACTTTTCAGAACTTCAAGACAATGCTCACAACTCCACCATTGTTGACCAAACTGGACCCTCAACTGGACATGATAATATACATATCAGTGTCAGACAAAGCCATCAGCTCAGTCTTGGTACAAGAGAAGATGGAACAGATGCCGGTGTACTTCGTCAGCCGAGTGCTACAAGATGCCGAAACAAGATATCAGCATCTCGAAAAAATAGTGTTAGCCCTTGTACATACCGCTAGGCGCCTACGACACTATTTTCAGAGCCATCGAGTGGTCGTCCGAACGGATAGCCCAATCACTAAGGTCTTGCGAAAGCCAGAGTTGGCAGGGCGAATGGTCGCCTGGTCCATCAAACTTTCACAATTCGATATTCGTTTCGAACCAAGAGGACCCATCAAAGCGCAAAGCATGGCCGATTTCGTGAATGAATTCACACCACAAGTGCTTCCTGGGTCTCACCTTTGGACCCTACATGTAGACGGATCATCAAACCAGCAAGGCAGCGACGCTGACATCATTTTAGAAGGCCCGGCTAAAGTTGTGATCGAGCAGTCACTATGATTCGGCTTCAAAACATCCAACAACCAAGCCGAGTATGAGGCCCTTCTAGCAAGACTGCGGTTAGCACAGGATCTGGGCATCACCAAAATACAGTGTTGGAGTGATTCACAAGTAGTGACAGGGCAAGTCAACGGTACCTTCCAAATCAAAGAGCCAACATTAATGTTATACTTTCATGCTTTCTAGAAGCTGAAAGGCGACTTTGAAGATGTCCAAATTAAGCATACACCCCGAGAACTCAATACGAGGGTCGATCAGTTGGCTAAGTTGGCCAGCAGCAAAAAGGTTAGCCATTTGCATAGCATGATACAACAAGAGTTGCAGAAGCCAAGTATCACCCAAGCCGAATGTTTGCAAGTTCAGCAAGAAACACCCAATTGGATGACCGGCATAGTCGAACACCTCGTAACCGGATCCTTGCCCACTGCTCCCTTGGAGGCAAAGAAAATGAAAACCATGGCGGCTCGATATACCTTAATCGCTGGAGACTTGTACAAGAGGGGGATTTCGTCACGACTACTGAAATGCTTAGCACCAGAACAGGCACACTACGTGATCCGGGAAATCCACGAAGGCATATGTGGGAGTCACTCGAGAGGCCGAACCCTTGCAACTAAGGTCATCCGAGCTGGATACTACTGGCCAACACTAGTGACCGACTGCGCCAAGTTTGTTCAACAGTGCAAACCCTGTCAACAACATGGATCTTTGACACACCAGCCCCCCGAAGGGTTGCATTCCATCGCCACTCCCTGGCCATTTTCTATTTGGGGCATGGATATCCTGGGACCCTTCCCACTAGCGAAAGGCCAAGTAAAGTTTCTCCTTGTGGTAGTAGATCATTTCACCAAGTGGATTGAAGCGGAAGCAGTGGCCACCATCACGGCTAACAACGTCCAGAAATTCTTCTAGAAGAACGTCATTACCTGTTTCGGAATCCCATACGCTTTAATCACGGATAATGACTTACAATTTACCGACCGCCGTTTCAACGAGTTTCTGTCCGGATTAGGCATCAAGCACAAGATGACCTCAGTAGAGCATCCTCAATCCAATGGGCAGGCAGAAGCAGCGAACAAGGTCATCCTTAAAGAATTGAAGCGACGCCTCGGACAAGCTAAAGGGACATGGCCCGATTGTTTGCCTGAAATCCTATGGGCTTACCGTTGTACCCCACAAAGTTCGACTAGGGAAACCCTTTTTCGATTAACCTATGGCACAGATGCTATGATTCCGGTGGAAGTAGGAGAACCCTCCCTAAGACAAACACTATTCAACGAACAAACCAATGAGGAAGCGCTAAACATCGAACTGGATTTAGTCGAAGAAGCACGCGACCAAGCCCTCATCAACATGGAGGCTTGCTGAACCAGGTTAATCAAAAATCATCAAACAAAGGTCAAGCCACGAGAATTTCAACCCGGCGACTTGGTCTGGCGAGTCACAGGAGAAGCACGAAGGGACAAGACTCAAGGAAAGTTGGCACCCAACTGGGATGACCCCTATCGTATAATGCACAACTTGCAGAACGGAGCGTACAAGTTGGAAGAACTCACAGGAAAATCCATCCCTCGGACATGGAACGCAACACATTTGAAGCACTACTTTAGTTAGCAAACACAATGTAATTGTTTCGGTGCACTCTTTTCCTCTCCTCAGGTTTTCCCCTCTTAAAAAAGTGTGAAAAGAGGTTTTCCTGAGAAGAGGTTTTTAACGAGGCACCATATCAATGAAACAAGCTCTTTTTCAAGAATCTTTTATCTACTCAGTCTAATTACAAGTCGAATACATACTTCCCTCCCGAGCACCCTCGCTCGGCCAAGGTTGAAAGAAAAATTCCCTCCCGAGTATAACAACTCGGCCAAGGATGAATACTTCCCTCCTGAGCACCCTCGCTCGGCCAAGGTTGAAAGAAAAATTCCCTCCCGAGTATAACAACTCGGCCAAGGATGAATACTTCCCTCCTGAGCACCCTCGCTCGGCCAAGGTTGAAAGAACAATTCCCTCCTGAGTGTAGCTAC